CAAAGTAGAGTAGGGGTAGGATGCGAATGGACTAGTTTATGTGCACATCCTCCTGGAAGTAGGTTACCCATGTTCCCACCCTGGGCCTGAAACGTACCAGCTGTGCGACCTCAGCCTACTCTCTGCTCTTCAGTACTCTCTGTCTGCGAAATGGGGATGAACTAGGACACTGATGCACATACGACAGACAGTATTACAAGTTTCTTAAAATGAATGTAATTTATGCAAAATTATAACATATGTGCTCAGTTAATAAAAAATGAGTGAGAGGAAAAGAATTTCAAGCTGGGTACTTTACTCAAGGAGCATACACTGCAGAGCAGAGGGGAGATGGAAAGGGTAACTGCTCTTCCTTCTGCCAGCCGGCACTCGCCCCAGGGCTGCTCTTCCGCACGGGGAGTCCACCTCCCCAAGCCAAGGGAGACTGTGATACTTGAAGTTATTTATTTCTCTCAAATCGTACAGCTCCTAGGGACAAGGCACCTATTTCACACGACCCTCAACTAGCTCTGGTCTCACTGGATTTGGAGTGTCATTCTTCAACATGGTGCCTCCTCACTCCCAGGCAAGATGGGAATCCACTGAGCTCAACATGTATTCAGAGTCTTATGTGGATCCTAATCTCTCTTCTCTTCTCTTCAAGTGACCGTTCCTTGACGGGATCTAGAGCTCTGTACAGTTTCCACAGGAACCCAACCCTTCTTCTCAAACTCCAGGAGTGGTGTGAAAGTACAAATGAGTGGGGTGGCTCAGTATTAGGAGAATCTCAACTTGACTCTGCTTTCTCAGGCACATAAATTATAAACTAAGATTCAGCTGTAATTTATGAAAGTACAAATGACTAAGCTCTCTCAATTGCAACATATCCAACTGAAGCTAAAGAATGCTGCTCCAAATTAGCCTCTGCTTCAAGAACAAGATCTCCTTGTTAGTACAAACAGAGGCCCCCTGAATCTCTGGTGATAGGAGTCAGCTGGAGAAGTGATCGCCAATGGAAAAGGACCGGGTGAAGGAGTGAGAGGATCTTCCGGCCAAGATTCTCATTCTGCCTCTGACACCGTTTGCATCTCTATAGGCCTTCATTCCCCAGTATAAGTCTCAGGCTAAAGGTACATGCCTTTATTGACCTTGGCCTGATCCCTACCTGATGTGCATAAATATTTATCTGGAGGACAACCAGCTGGCCTACTGACTAGAAGAGATCTGTATTTGTCCTCATTCCAAAAAAAGGTAACCCGACAGAGTGTGGAAATTAATATTATATGCAAGCAAGATTATGCTGAAAATCATCCAAAAAAAAGGACAGGAAGAGCACACCAACAGAGAACTGCCAAATGTGCAGGCTGGGTTTAGATGAGGCTGTGGTACTAGAGATGTTATTGCTAATGTTATATGGATCTTGGCTAAAAGCAGAGAGTATCAGAGGAATGTCTATCTGTGTTTCATTTATTATGCAAAGGTATATAACTGTGTGGATCACAACAAACTGTGGCTGACTCTGAGAAGAATGGGAATCCCAAAACACTTGATTGTGCTTACATGAAACCTATACTTGGACCAGGAGGCAGTTGCCAGAACAGAGCAAGGAAACACTGCATGGTTCAAAATTGAGAAGGGTGTATGCCAGGGATGTGTCCTGTCTCCATACCTTTCAACTTGTATGTGGAACAGATCATCTGAGAGGCTGGGCTGTATGAGGAGGGATGTGGCACCAGGATTGAAGGAAGACTCATCAACGACCTATGTTATGCAGATGACACAACCTTGCTTGCTGAAACTGAGGAAGACCTGAAGCACTTTCTGCAGAAGGTCAGGGATTGCAGCCTTAAATATGGATTGAAGCTCAGTATAAAGAAAACAAAGATTCTCACCACTGGGCTGATTAGCAGCATCATGATAGATGGTGAAAAGATTGAGACTGTTAGCAACTCTAATTTGCTTGGCTCCACAAACAACACTCTTGGTACCAGCAGGGAAACCAAAAGACAAATTGCACTGGGAAAATCTGCTGTCAGGGACCTCTCCGGAGTACTGAAGAACAATGATGTTAATCTGGAGACTAAGGTGCGCCTGATCCAGATTAGGTCTTCACAATTACACGCTGTGCATAAGAAAGCTGGACAATGACCAGGGAGGATAGAAGGAGAATTGATGCCTTTGAGCTGTGGTGCTGGAGAAGAGTATTGAATATGCCACGGAATGCTAGGAGAACAAACAGGTTCTTCCTGGAGAGGGTAAAACAGGCTGCTTCTTGGAGACAAGGATTCTGAAGCTTTGTCTGACATACTTTGGACATGTTGCAAGGAGGGACCTGTCGTTGGAGAAGGACATTATGCTTGGGAGGGTGGAGGGACAGTGCAGAAGGGAAGACCCTCAATGATAAGGGTTGACTCAGTGACTGGGGTAATGGGGGTAGGTGTGTCAGAAACAATAAGGTTGGCTCAGGAAAGAGCAGGTTTCAGAGCTGTTGTACATAAGGTTGCTATAAATCGCAGGTGACTTGACAACATATAACAACAAACAACATGGGGTGTGTTTTTCTTTACACTGATTCCCTTTTTTACTGCAAAACAATTTCTTTAGAACAAAACTTTAGCCACCTGATTCACATTATAATAAAAAAATTGATTCATTTTCTTGGAAACTGTCAGAGAGAAAGGATCAACCATTTATTCTGAGTTTCTTATATGAACTGTATCAGAAGGTAGCCAAGAAACAGGATGATGGAATGGTTTTCTTTATAAAAGCTTCTCAACAAAGAAATGAAAAAAGACATGTGAAGACTCGAATATACCACAAAAGCATCTCAACAAAGAAATGAAAAAGACATGTGAAGACTTGAATGTACCACTTTGTAACCGTTAACAAATTGACAGACAGAGAGCTGCAGTTGCTGCCCACATCAGCTGAGAGGGGTAACGCAGCTGAGAGGGGACAGCACATGCCTTTGGATGAAAGCACACACCGCTGCGCACGATCTTGCCAGAGGGCAATGACCCAAGTCCGATGGAGCCTCCAGATCCTGCTGCCCATTTGCAGGAAACACAGAGGGACGTGTTAAGCTGGCCAGGATGGGCAGCCAGCAAAACCCAGACAATGGAAAGTCTGCAAGTCCCACAGCCCAGCGTCTTCAACAGATAAGGACCCGGTGAAAGGGGAACAACAGCTAGAAAGCCACAGAGGAAAAGACTGAAAAGACGTATCATGTGTTTTTAAAAAACAGACACGTTTACATGACGGTGCTCAGAGATGACAAAATTTAAGTGATAAAATGATAAGCATACACAAACAAGCGACCAAGGAGGGCTTGAGATTAGGACACAGCACAGAGACAGAGCTCTTGTGAGGTGGCTATTGGAGCTGTGCTCTCTGGTGGTAAAAAAGGTATTTGCTGTGGCAGCCCATATATGGGGTTTTCTTTTCTCCTATATGTGAATTTAAATTAAAATCCTTTTATGCTTTTGGCTGTCACGCAGTCAGCACTGAGCCCCATGGACCTCGCATGTAACTGAAAGAAATATTTCCCATTTCTCCATGATCACTGGGATGTTTGAACCAATTTTTCAGATGTTATTAGGTGCCTCTCAACGCTATCAAAAAGGGAAACAGTCTGTAAACATATATAAAACGAAAACCAATGTCCCACAAACCACAGTTTGCCAAAAGATTGCAACCCAAAGGCCAGGACCCCCTTCTCTTTGTTTAAAAGGAAAATGTTAGGAAAAATGTTAAGGCCAAGTCACCACAGAAGGGAATATGAAGAATTTAAAGGGAAAGGGAAAAGAAATGTAAATTGAAAGCATGCATCATCTGAAATTGCCCTTCACAATGCCCAAGGCAATTTACGTAATAGTGTGTGCCATGCCTTGTTGTTGTTGTTGTGTACCGTTGAGTCGGAGCCAGCCCACAGCTGACCCTCCAGCAGGTTTTCAGAGGCAGTTAATTGCACGGGGGGAGATTGCTCATCCTTCTCCTGCGGAACAGCTGGTGGATTCAAGCCCCGTGGCTTCCGAACTGCAGGCAGCTTCCTGCCACTAGGCCACCAGCTCTTGCAGGTCTTAGTGCTGTCTGTAGTGGAGGAAAGGGTTGTAGTGCAGCTTTCTGCCAGCCACAGAGGTGCACGGTGGCCTGGTGATAAGAAAACTGCACTGCTCAACCAAAAGCAGATGGTCTGAATCCACCAGCTGCTCCCTGGGAGGAAGACGGAGCCTCTCATGTGTGAACCCACTGAAGGTGGAGCTATGGTTTGGCTCCAACGTGACAGCACGCCAGAACCACCACCACCCTGGCCTTGTGCTAAAGAGCTGGCGGTCGAATGCAGCAGCTGCTCCTGGGGAGGAAGATGCCCCCTGCCCTGTGATTTACAGCCTCTGGAAACCCACGAGAGGTCAGTTATGAGTTTGCTCTGACTCAACAGCACACGCCCACAACACTGGCCAGAGTGCTAAAGAGCAAGGATGTTAGTTTAAACACTAAGGTGCATCTGAGTGGTGACTACTGTTATTTTAGCCATTTTGCGAATGAAGAAATCAAGGCCCAGAGAATTGTTGTGTCTCCTCCCTTACCTTTGGAGTCCCCTGAGGGCCCTGTTCTCCAGAACTACCTTTCAGGGAGCCGGACACCAAGATTTCAGGCAACCAAAAGCGAGGTTCTTATTCTTGTATTTAGCTGAAGGGACCAAAAAGCTGACTGTACTCATCATTATCTTTGGGCTACCACATCTTATACTGGGGAAAAGTCTCAAATTCCTATCCCCATGTCATCCCATGTCTCTGTTAGGTTTGTTATAAAATCAATTGCCTGAGTTGAAAAAAGCCCTTGTCCTGAGAGAAGGGTGTATCAGTGGCAACTTCAGAAACTCTCTGCTAACTTCCCTGACCCCGACATCTTTGTCTCACAAATGGGTCTAGAATGGGTCCAGGTGTCTCTTTGAGGTGGGGGCTGCTGCAACAGCTCTTCCAGAGCCTGGGGGGGGACACGAGGGTCTGTGGGAACATTACCATGGTCTGGAAGCAGGAGTGAAGCTGAGTCAGAAATGGGGGCTTCCCAGGCAGGGCCAGGACTCGCTTCTCCACCATGGTGCACTCGACATCATCATCCTGGATCACCACGTCCTTCTTCAGGATCTTCACGGCGTACAGCTCATCCGTGCCTTTCCGCTCCGAGAGCATCACCTGTGGAAGAGAAAGTACGTCAGGGCAGAAGCAGCTGTCTGTGGGCAAGTCCAGGGTGACGCAAACGGTCCTCACTCCATGCTTAACCTAAATGTTGTCGGTTTGAAACCATCAGCAGCACCGTGGAAGAAAACCCTAGCAATTCTCTTCCTTAGTAATTTCAGTCAAGAAAACTCTATGGAGCAGTTCTGCTCTGTGCCATATGGGGCTGGATGCATAGGAAGGGACTCAACACTTAGAGGTCTGATTTTTGATTTTTGTTTGGGGTGTGGAGAGAGAGAGAAAGAAGGAGGGAGGGAGAGAGGGATGAACAAAGAGATAGAGAGGAAGTTATGAGCAGTTGATGTTCATCCCAATCCACTCCAAAGGTTATCCAGACGCCAGTGTTTACTCAGTAGCAAAATCTGAGGTTTTTACACTTCTGAAACCAACACAAGTAGAGGGTACAGCCTGTGATGTTCATTCACCTGCCAGATTTTCATACTGTGGTGGTTGACATAGTGCTATGATGCTGCAAGTATCTCGTATTCTAAATCCCCAGTATTCAGAAAACTACTAAGGTCACCTACAGTGAACAGGTTTCATATGAGCGTCTACAAGAAGACAGACAGGGAAGAAATCCTTCCTGGTAACTCACTTCTGAAAATTAGCCAATGAAAACCCTACAGCTCAATGTTGTTGTTGACTGTCATTGAGTTGAGCACAACTCATAGCGACGCTATGAACCAAAGACCTGCGAAGCCTTTCTATGACTATCATCATTTATCAAAGTTCATAGAGTTTCCAGAGGCATGTTGTTTAGGAAGTGGATGCCACTCCTGCTTCCAATTATTAGGTACACAAAATATATATTAAGCTTCTTCTATATATAACTCACTAGAGGGTTTTATTGGCTTATATGGTGCTAAAGGATGAGTATCCTATACTGGAAGGCAACAATGATCACAGTATGTGAGATGAAGTTTCACCATACTTGTCTTTAACTGGAAGTTGTCAAAAACGAAATAGGTGCACAAAGCTCAACTTCTCAGGCATCAGGGAGCTGAGATGTGCTGGTATTGACCATTTGAAGTCAACAATCATATGGTCATTATGCCAGGGATGAAAAAATTCAAAGAGTAATGATGCTGTATTCATAATAATTAAAAACTCACACCCCAAACACTTTGAGATCTATTCTGAAGTACAGTACTATAAGTAATAGGATCCATATGCATAGAAGGAAGATCTGTTAATATAACTATTATTTGAATATATGTGCCAATTACTAAGGCCAAAGATGAAGAAATCGAGGATCAAACGTCATCAAAATACATTAGTAATAATTAGTGAGTGGAATGCAAAAGTTAGAAACAAAGAAGGAAGACTGGCAGTTGGAGCTACCACTAGGAACCACAATTTACAGGAAACAGAGGCTCAGGAAAGGTAAAAAAGCTCCCATCACAACCAGGGAACTGAAGACTGATCTATCTGATCCTAAAGTTGCTGACTTTTAAAATTTTATTTTACACAATACTTTATTGAGTTTTTAGGAAAAGTTTCTACAGTAAATTAGATTCTCACTTGACAACTTCTGCTCAAATTGTTCCATGTATTAGCTACAGCTTTCGTAATGTGCCAACATTCTCTGCAACTGTGTCTGGTTGTTCCGTTTCCAGCACTCTAGTTTCCCGGCTCCTTATTGTCTCCTTGCTCTAGTGTAATTATTGATTGTTTGGTCTCAAACAGCTGGTCCTCCGCCCCTCCCCACCGGAACACTGTTCCCCCGCCTTCCCCTGGAACGCTGTTCTCACAGGTTTGTCTGGCAATCTGTTATCTCCCTAAGAACTGACATATCTGGGTATAGTTTTGGTTCAAGGTTTAAAGTGCATGTTAGGACGACAGTCTCAGGGAATTCTCTGTCTCACTGGTGCAGCAAATGTGGACTTTTAAAGACTCAGTTCTGTTTCATGTTTTTCTCCTGTTCTGTCATGTTTCCATCACTTGTGGCCCTGATCAAAGCCCCTGCCTTTAGACACTTTGCCTGATGAAAGATTCAGAGGAGGAACCTTCAGAGGGTTTTAGTGGTGGGAGAAACCAGGTACTAATCCTTGGTTCTGCTGGAAGAATCAAGAAGGTGGTGGAGAGCTGGGGTGAGGGAGGGAACCTCTAAAAAAGCACCCACAGACAGAAGGGCAGCTCTATCCTCTCTGCTAAGTGTCCATCCTGCTGGGAAGAAGCCCGTCTGCCCTCATGGATAGAAGCCTCCTGGCTGAGCTAGCCAGTTCATGTAAAGATCCAGGTCTCTGTCCACGTCATCTTCTTTTCATCACATCCTTGGGAGAGTCATGGGCAAGGCAGACTGGGGGGTTTAGAATATTTTAGGACCAAATCTTCCTACACACATCTCCACAAGAATAGGATTCTTCTCAACCTCTAATATCCCTAGTTCCCCTCCACTTAAAAAAAATTAATAATGCTGCTAACCTAAGTGGGCTGATGGAACGCCAGTGTTAGAGTCCATAAGGAGCTGCATTGCCAACCCCAGAGTGACATCTCCTTGGCCATTTGAATCAACTAGCTGCTCTGCAGGAGAAAGCTGGGCAATCTTGTCCTATGTGATTTACAGCCTCCTGAAAAATCTTTTGGCATTCTGGTGGACTGTTGCCTTCAAAATGGATTGCATCTCAACATCAAGAAAACAAGAATCTTCACCACTGGACCAATAAGCAACATCATGATAGATGGAGAAAAGATTGAAATTGCCAATGATTTCATCATGTTTGGATGCACAAACAATATCCTTGGTACTAGCGGGCAGGAGATCAGGAGATGTATCACTATGGGCAAGTCTGCCTTCGAGAACTTCTCCAAAGTACTGAGGAGCAATAATGTCAGTTTGAAGACTAAGGTGCGTCTGATTCAAGCCACAGTGTTTTCAATCACTTGCTTGGCTGCTGAGAGCTGGACAGTGAATAGGGATGGCAGAAGAACTGATGCCTCTGAACTGTGGTGCTGGACAAGAGTACTGAATATCCCTCAACAGTGAAAAGAACAGACAGGTGTGTCTTGGAGAAAGTGCAGTCAGAATGCTCCTCATTGCAAAGATGACCATTCTTTGTCTCACATACTTTGGGCATGTTGCTAGAGAGGATCTTCCCTAGGAAGGGACTTCATGTTAGCAAAGGTCAGCGAAAGAGAGGAAGACCCTCAATGAGACAGACTGGCACAGTGACTACAGCTAGCAATAAGCTCAAGTATGTCAGAGATGATGAAGATGGTACAGGATAGGCCACGGTTCAGATCTGTTGTTCTGATCTACTGGTCACCTTGAGCCATACTCCACTCAATAGCATTTAACAACAACAATAGCAACAGTTGGTAAGATGTTGTACTGTCAACCCAGAGGACTGCAATTCAAACCCACCAGCTCCTCTGAGGGGGGGAAAATGGGCAATCTCCTCTCATGCATTTTACAACCTGTGAAAGCCCACGGGAGAGCTAGTTATGAGCTGGTTCTGACTTGATGGCAATGAGTTTGAGTCAAGCAGGTCCCCCCTTCCAGACATTTACTTAATCTTCTCTGTTCTGTAAGTACTGCAAGTATTAAAATGTGTGCTCTTCAGCTCATTTCCCATCGTGCTTTGCTCTGTAGCTCATACCTATGGCCCATTTCCCCTTCCCTGGCCCTTGCCAAGCAAATGCTGGTGGTCTAGCAGGTAAAGAAATGTGCTGCCAACACAAAGGCAGGCAGCTTAAATATGCAGGATGGGCACTCTCCTCCCATCGATTTACAGCCTCGGAAAACCTGCTGGAGGGTCAGCTTGAGTTGTTTCCAACTCGATGGCAAAGAGCTGAGTTGAGCTGAGTTGAGCTCTTAACCAAAGCAGAAACAATGATTCAAGGAAGCCAAGTGCAAAGATGGAAACATTAACATGGAGACAGGTATTTTTTTTTCTGTTCTCAGATTCCAGAGAAAGCTAGTGCTCTCTTTGCTTTGAATACTATTCCCAGGACTCTTTGATGGCTGAGAAAATCTGAAATTCCACTTAGGTGTTGTCTTCTTCCTAGAACCCTCACCAAGAGTCCCTGACCCAGTTGGTTACTCTTCCCACTGGGAGCCAGTACTGCTGTGTATGCGTATCAGCCATTTTACTGCAGGTTTTCCCAAATTTTAATGATTCATGTGGTTTTGAAAACATTTTTACTTATCACCTAAACTATCTGCATAGCATTTTTGAAAAATAATCATTCTCCGACTCCACTACATTTATTTCAAAACGAAACTCTAACACCACTATAAATGGTGAACTAGCATCTCTAGCCCCACCTGGGAGACAAATATACAAAGACATTAAAGCAAAGCAGCGTTAGTAAATTCTAGCTTCATCTCGCTGCCTGCTGAAGGCTCTGAGACAGGCCGTGCATTTATTTCCTCCTTGACGTTATGAAGGCTCAGAATTAATGGTTAATTGTTGTTGCTGGTGCCACGGAATCAATTCTTGATCCATAGCAATCTAGAGGACTGTCCCATAGGATTTTCCAGGCTGCAGTATTTATGGCTACCACTTGTCTGTCAGTTTGTTATGCTGTCAGCTTGTAAGCTGCTGAAATGCTGGAAGGTATGGCACCGGTTTTTCAATACCAGCAGGATTACTCATGGAGGCTAGGAGATGGATCGAATTGTGTTCCTTAAAAGAAACAGTTGTAAATGCTAACTTCTTTGCTAGTAGTTAGGGGGCTCTGGCAGCAGAGAGGGTGAGGAGTTCTGCTGTCAACCCAAGGTGCCTCACGGGAGAAAGATGGGCAGTCTCCTCCCACACAATTTATAACTTCTGAAAATCCACTGGAAGGTCAGTTATGAGTCAGCTCGGAGGACACTGAGTTGTTACTGCTGTATGCCTGGCATTATAATCCCATTTGGGAACAGGCTGTGTTTGTTACATAAATGAGGCAGGATTTGTGCAGGGTGTGTCCTGAGTTCATCTCTTTGGGACAATAAAGAAGACCGAACAAGCAAG